TTAAGGTAAGTTGGGTATTGGGCAGTATTATTTTTCATTTATACAAACAATCGCCGAGTTAGTTCTTCTTATTACGTCATTAATGTTCTGTACGACTGACCGGCCACACCAACCCTGATATACCATACTTAGGTAGAGTGAGGGCGTCTAGGATAGAGCAAAGGAGCTAGCCGTAATGCGGACCGGTGTAATGGAAGAGTGCGGAAATGGAAACCCCCATAGGTGCAATGGAGGGATAGCCTTCCGCTCCATGTAGCAGAGACACGAAGGGAAGGGTGGCTGATAAATAGCACGAGACACTATGAGCTTGCGTGTGGCAGGATACACGGTTCCTTGACAGAACTCCTTCAGGAAGCCTGGTCAGAAAGTGTGGTCGCAAGCGTGTAATAAAGTTAATAAAGGTGTTTTTTTCCGCTACACGGGTTCTCGCAGCGAAAATTTATTACTTTTTTGACCCTCATCCGTGATCCGGATAAGCTTTTATAGGAACTGTATTTTTCGACCCTCTTGTGGTTTTGGATGTGCACAAGAAACGTTCATGTGTTGTGCAGATTGCAGAATATGGTCAATTTGAGTCTATGTAGTTATCTCCAAGCTGGTTTCTATCCACGATTTTCACTTTCAGCGTGGCTGCCGACAGCCATTTCGCCCATTTCTCACAAAACTGCCTGAATAAAGGCCATTTCCTACGTCAAGTCATGAAAAGCTAGTGTAAATGCATGTCGAGTTCCCTGGGTATCATAAATTACGGAAACTGGCAGGCTCGAATGTGATTCGATTGCAAGAATGACTGAGTATAGAACGCTAAACGCAGTCAGACTTTTGAAAAAGTAGGTTAGGAGGAGGTTAGAGCGTCTGGGTGCTTTCAAAATCTTCGTCGAGTTAGCTTCTGGATACTAAAGCTCACGACCTTTTCAGCTTTTACGGTAAAATAATAAGACTATGCACCGAATTCATGTAAATAATTGTCCTAAGTCATACTTCAGTTAGCAATCGATCATAGCCATGCAGCTTAGTACCGATGTCAAAACTCGTAAAATCATGGTAAAAACGGAAACAATCATTAAAAAGACATTTTTGACGTCCATCAGTCCCCGTTACATCCACCCTTCATATTAAGTTGATATTTTTCCGACTGAATTGCGTTTCTCTGGTTCGTGCCGCGGTGTGTGGCGCGTGCGTGGGCTATGCGGGCTGCAGGCCCTATCGATCCGGGCCCGTCTTGTTAGTGTACTGTTGCAGCGGACAGTCGTGGTGGGCCTTGTTCACGTGGGCTGGCCATTATCCAAGCCAGGCTGGGCCGACACCACACCGCTTTTTGTGCACGGAGCTGCATTCGATTCACGGCAGGATGGGTTTGAAGTGGGTCAACGAAAGTCGCCATGGTCGCCACTGGGGAGCGGTAGTGTCGTCCCAGACGGAAAAAATGAATACCTAAACTCATTACTGTCACCAGATGCAACTAGTTATAACTCATAACTTAGGAGAAACATTGTAAGACACACAAATCTACATAAATGCAAACATTGCATATATACTCCAATTCCATATCAATGCACATGATGTGACTCAAAAGGACCATACGTACGTTGACGCACGTCATACGCGATAAGAATGTTGAGTAATAATCCGAGTAGTGTGGGAAAAAGCAAATTATGGCTGGCCAGCGTCAAGCGTGTTTACACCATCGAATCGATTCGAAAAAAAGAAAAAGTAAAAAATGTACGCCACTGAATATGACACCCAGCCGCAAGTGCGCGGCGCTTTCGGTCAGCTCGGCGGCGCAGTATCTGCCCCTATACGCGCACGCATGCCGGCTGCCGCGCCGCGACGCGCCGGCGAGCGTTCATCACCCGATCGCCTCGGGCGCCGGGCACTGACCTCTTGACCTACTGGAACCGTATCTGATTGGTGGAGTGTGGACACGCTGGGCCGGGGAATGATTCCATTGGCGAGCCTTGCAAGCCTTGTCCTCCCCGTGGCATAGTGGATGAGGCGTCCGTCTCCTAACTCGGTGGCAGCGAGTTCGCGGCCGGGAAGCTCCACGTTGTTTGACCCGCGTTCCTATATTAAGCCAGCTGGCAACTGGCGAGAGAGGGCGACGCTAGACCCGGGAGGACCGTGCCGCCATCTACCTGCGGCACGTTAACCCTAGAACGCCTAGGGGGGGGGGGGGGGTTGTATCAACCCCCCCCCTGAGGTTTTTTCGAAGTGCACGCTAAACGGCTTGTCGTAGCGGGCTGAAATTTTCAATGCCCTCTGGGGCAACCTTTGCGCATCTTTTGCCGAAAAAAAATTGATCGGGTCATGTCAGGTCACGGAGTTATGACGTCATAAGAGGTACAGCCTCCGGCCGGATTTTCACAAACTGAGTGCCAACGCCCGAGGTTTCCTGCCGGTGGTACGGACATCGGTTGATGGATCGTGATGAAACTTCCCATGCATGTTGGGGCAAGTATTGGCTATCATATGGTATAAGAAATTTGACCGGGTCAGGTCAGGTCACGGAGCTATGACGTCACAAGAGAAACAGCGTCCGGTACTATTTTTGAAAAGCGCCCGAACCACTATTTTGCTAATTCTTGTCACCTCAATGGGAATATGCAGCAATATTAGCTTCTATAGGGAGCAAATGGACCTCCCAAATCCAAAAATACAATCAGATTTCAAAAATTTAAATTTTGATTTTTCGAATTTCTGCCGCCGACTGTGACCTTGCCGACTTCCGGCGCTCCCAACGCGCCATTTTTAGAGCTAGGGAAACGAAATACATACCAAACGATAGAGAATTGATCAAGGAACACGATAGTGAAGGTTTCAAGTCGATATCTCCCACCGTTTTGCCGCAATCGCCACCGAAAGTTGAAAAAAGTCTATTTTTCCGAAAATTTGACCTTTGACCGGTCAAAAGTAGGTCAAATGTTGACCTAGGACCAAAAAATATACCACCAATCGCGAGATCTCGTTGAGAGCAATCCGTTGGTTTTTTCCGCTAAGCTCTACGACCTTCCGTTTCGAAACGCCAGGGGGGGGGGGTCGTAACAACCCCCCCCCCTGGTCGTTCGTGTTATGATAAATGGCCTGGTCGTGCGAGGGTTAAACTTTCGATCCAAATTATCACCGGTGAACCGGGCGCGGACATTGGGCAAGGCGGGGTGGTGGGTCCGTGGTGTCAATCGCAACAAGCACTGCTTAGCGTAGCACCCGGGCCCATAGCCACCCATTCATACATTCGGACAAAATTTCTCAAAAAAAAAATGTATTGTAGTGTGCGTCATGCAGATCGAAAGGACAGCAATGAGCGTGACCTGCGTCAGAAGCGCATTGTCTTTCAATGAGCCAGTCGCTATCAAAACGAAAAGACAGTAGGTAGGCATAATTCGCAACATACAGCATTCTCTTCAAAGATATTATACGCACAATTTCATGTAGTAACAACTACGTCTCATCCCAGATCGGTCCGTTTTTTATTTGGCTTTTGTCTGCTTTACCGATAATGCACACTGTCAGTTGACCACCGCAGTTTCTGTCAGTTAACCACCGCACTGCAGTGCGGTGGTTAACACTGCACTGGTTTCGTGATGGGGGATATTTTCCCAAAGCTATCTCAACATTGAACAGGCCGAGACGACTACAGCTTCACTTTACTCAACTATACCACGCTGTTTGTTTCGTTTAAGTCAGTGCCGTTCAGGGAGCCATCATGGCATTATCACAGACTGGCCATGATCGTTTTACGAGGGCGCTATTCTCAACAAAAGAATCAGTCTCAAAGTAATGAGGTCAGAGGTGTTGACAACTGCAATTATACCTAGCTTTGTAGAAGCGCATTGAAGACCTTTGGTCTGTCTGTCTGTCCTTTCAATGGGTCTGTCCCTTTGAAGAAGCAGTTAGCGCGATTCAAGCGACTAACAAGCATTCAAGTAAAGACAACGGTCTTTCGCTTTGAGAATCAAGCCCGCAGCTCGCTAAATTTGTTTGTTTTGTTTTGTTGGGTTAGGCCCTTTCGGTCTGACAAGACCATTGCAGAGCCGGAAGGGTGATAGTAATTAGGGGGAGACATTGGTCTGGGCAGACACCCTAGAGAGTCGCCGGGGCTGAGCCCGTCCGAATGGACAGGCCGACCAGCCCCCCAAGCACTCTCTGCACCCGGCTACGGGGTGCGCTCCCTCGGGAGCAGCGGTGCCGCTCCAAGGGAGCAGCCCGCATGAGATAAAGGTGCTTGTCCAGCCCGGAGTAGGGGTTGCGGCGTGGAGGAGAAGGATTTCAGTATCCAGAGGATAGAAGCACGGAACGGTGAACTCGCTAAATGTGACGAAACGGAATGCACCGAAGAAACACGGTAACGAGTATAGTAGTGAAAAGCTTAGCGATTCAACGTTTAGCAAGGGAAACTGAAACGTTATAGAGCATTCGAAGGAATATCGGTATGTCATCCCGTAATTTAATCAAGCATCAAAAGCATAAAATCTTTTTCTGGGTGTGCACGGGCATCACTTTTGGTGCCAAGGAGACACGAGTGGCGCCGCCCTGGTGACGAAGCTGGGAGCTGTGATCAGGCGCTAGGGGTCGAAGGATGAGAATGATGCGACGAAGATCAGTCAGGGTAGGCTCCAGTCACCCATACAATTACAATACACATACAGTTGCGTTCATTATACACGTGGTCTTCGGTAATATGTTTGAATTTTATGACGTGACTGAACAAATAACGTTCACTTTCTACTTCAAGCAAATGGTCCCTTTGAACACTAACTGGGACAGAGGTAACATCAGGTGTAACTCGTTGTAAGAACGAGTTGAGCCTTCTTTGTCTTCGCCCATTCGTCTGATCACAATGTCTGATAGAAGCTCCTTTCCCGGCGACTAGCCGGAGTAGCAGACGACTCCCTGCAAAGCCCAACCCATCCACCCACCAATCAGTATAGTGTTCATCCCAATACTCTTTCAGAGCTGTCCCTCAGTCCCACCTCCGACACGCTCCAGCACAGTCACTCGGGTCGCGACACCGTCAGTATATTCTGAACGAACTCAGGGGCCGACGGGCGCGGCGGCGCCTCCATCCTGAGCGGAACGGACGGCGCCGCCGCCGCGTCTACAAGCTGCTACGTTACACACTAGTAAATCGGCTTAAACGGAGAATACAGGAGCATAGACTAGAGGCCTCTGTCGTGCCTCGAGCAACCAACAGGACGAAACCCATCGCACCGCCGGTCGACTCGCTCACACCGAGCCGAGAGCGTTAGCGCCCGCCGGCTATTATAAAATTCATACAAAAACACCTTAGAAACGATAACCTCAGAATGCCTACGTCTACACGACACACCGCGGCAGACATGCAAGAAAGAAAGACTCCGTGGCGGGGCGCGGGCGGCGCAGCTGCGAAGGGCGACAATACGTCAGCAGCAGCAGCAGCAGCGGCAGCAGCAGCGGCAGCAGCAGCAGCAGCGGCAGCAGCGGCGGCAGCGGCAGCAGCGGCGGCGGCGGCGGCGGTGGCGGCGCCCTCTGCTCGCCGGTAAGACTTCGAGGCCGGGCAGAGGGCGGCAGCAGCGCCGCCGGTCGCGCGCCGCACTCGCGCAGACTAGACGGAGGTTCAGTGAATATGATCCGGCTTATTTACAGGCTAGCAGCGCAGCCGGCGGACGGCCACAGGCCGAGCTGTGCCGCGCGGCAGACAGAAACAGAGAGCCTCCGGGCCGGCCGGGCGCGCCGCCCCCCCGGCGTATCGTAGCGCCGGTCCTCAGCGCCTCTCCGCGCTCCCACGCTCGCTGACTTTACACGAGTCTCTCCTCGCGTCTACGCTCTACAGTCCGTGCCCGTCGCATCTCGCGCATTGGTCGATCCCGCTCGTGACACGAGGTGGCCCCCGTCCGAGCTACCCTTTCCACGCTATCCTCGCGCCGAGACCCCGCCGAGAGGCGGCTAGTCTCGCGCCGAATGACGATATAATTCAAACGCCGGCCGTCGGCGCGGCGTCGCATGACTATTGCACAAAACAAATCTCCCTTCGCGATCACACAATTAAAGAACGCAAGAGCCGGGCGCACACCGTTCCACAGGCCCCGACAATGGACCGAAACAAACTGAGTCAGAACGACCGCGATGGGTAAGGGCCTGGCGCCACGCCGCCCAACTAAGTCATGACACGCACCCTCATGGGTTTACCGGGGCCCCGCGGGACCCACCGAGTTCCACCGGGGCCCAGCGGGACCCTCTGAGACCCCGCGGGACCCGGTGACAGGAGCGGGGCCACCACATCCCGCGGACTCTCAGAGGACCTCGACAGAGCCGGCTCCTACCGTTCCGCCGGCGCCTACTGTCTGGGCAGTGGTCGGATCAGGTAGAGCTTCTCGCCCTGTGGATTGGTGTAGATCGGACAGCGCTGGTAGTGATCCACCAGCTGGTCGAGCGTGTGGAACTTGCGCTGGCCGATGCAGTACAGGGCGCCTTTCACCTCCACGCGGAAGTGTTTGTTGCGTCCCGGCGCCTTGAGCGAAACGGAGTAGTCGCCCACCTGTCGGAACGAACGACAGAACACGTCAGGTCAAACAAACTAACCAGCCAATGGAATGATGAAAATTAAAGGCTTTTAAGAATACAAACGAAAAAAAAAATACCGCCTTCCTAGAGGCGAGAATTGATGACATTGAAAACATCGAAAACCAATCGAGAGTAAGGACATTGAGCATCGCTGAGGACATAATAGGTTTATCCATTGCTCCATCTTCATTGTCGTTGGTTTGCACTGGATTGTATGTACTGCGCTCAGTGTCGCCCTGTAAGCATATCATCACGACAAGAGGAAAACATATCGTGTCATACAAGCTGATTAAACAGATCAATAATGACGATTGATGTTTTATGACGCCAATAACACCACTGTGAAATGAAAGGGTCCACAGTCATTGTCCATTAGTTGGGCCGTAGCTCAGCACAATGGCATTGCCAGGCTACCGTCCGGACTCATTAGGGTCACAAGCAAGACGGTTATGAGATGCCTACATAGATATATAACGCAGCCAGTCATACTACAGAGCGGAAACTTCGGCATCACATTGCAATAGTTGGAAAAGGAGTTTCATTTTGTCACATCCCACACCAGTTCCAGGGGCGGGGCAAATCGAACGATCAATATTCTAAGCTGAAAGATACAACAGGAAAGTGGCGATATGTGGTGATAGCTAGCTGCACAGCAATGCCAAATGTTATAGTCAACATATTGAGAACAAAGAGCCCCACCTTTCCGAAATGTTGTGCTTGCACACTGACAACACAGTGTGACTACATAGTGCATCTTTTGGTTCATTTTCACTGAGCCTACGTCCCAGCACATAACTGGGTATCTGCGCTCGTTGCTGTGCAGAACGGGGCCGTATTTCAGAGCAACTGCCGGCCGGCGGCGGCGGCACCGGGCCGTCTATCGATTTGCCCCCCCCCCCTGTCCCCTCCTCCCCCCGCGCCCGGGCGGTCATGAGCTCCGCCCTTGAGTAGGTGCGACGGTAGGCGGCAGGCAGGGACACCACCACACTCCTACTCCCAGTGTCGGTGTGTGTGTTGTTGTTGGGGTTTGGAGACAACTGTTTCAGCTAATGTTAGCTAACAAGTGTTCCCATATTCTCAGTCATATGCGGACAGTAAATTTCACCGGCCGGATGGCTGGACGATGTGTTACGAGATATACAAAATGAATGGAAAGGCGGCATTAATGACTTCATAATATATCGTCCCTGGAGTTGACGGCATATCCGGACAAATCCTGCCCAAAGGAAACAGAAGATGTACAGCGAAAAATGGTCAGTTCGCAAAAATAAAAAAGGAAAACAAAACCACGTTAATTATAGACTCTCTACACTCTTTCATTTACTTTCATTCAATGCGCGTTGTTCAGAATCCAGCCGAAAGATAAGTCGTAAAAGTACGGCTAATAGTGTTGCTGAATCACTGGTGCCGGAGCACCAAAAATTAGCATAATCTACGCAATTCAGGAGACATAGCTTCGTGCAAATGAGCCCGTAGTCGACGCACCCGTAAACCCCAATTAACTAACTCATACGGGACATGCGAACTTTTTTAATAAAATAAAACCAAGAGAGCTGTAGATACGGCCGTAAAATAGTACCCACTCACCAAAGCGTTGAACAAGTAATCAACAATATACAGTCTGCGGTGACGCTCACAAATGGCAAGGCGCCACTCTCCAAATCAAGCAATCCATACGTGTGCCTAGTTCGCGAGCACCAGCTCGCTCCCTTCCCCACCACACAATCAGTCGTGGTAGCTAGAAATGTTCATTCATTCATTGAACATTCACTGTTCAGTGTTCAGTGTGTAACAAGTCAACTCACTGTTGACTCCAGACTCACAGTGTGTAACTCACTGCGGCAACTGACTTGCTCTGACTCTGCCGAGTGCATTCAATCAATCAACAGCTTGTCATGCTTGACGACCGAGACTGGGTCTGTTACGCTGCGACCCTTCTCAATGTCGAGGATATTCTATTCACAACTCGCGCAGCCAAAACACAAGACCATGACAGATACAGCTCACACTCACAGACAAAACGGACAGTCACAGACGGAGCACCGACCGACCGGCCGACCAAGCCGGACAGACGAACAGATAGACATATTATAGACGTATATGTAGGTACAGGTCTCGCGGGTTTTAACGGTAGGTTTTGCACCTTGAAAATTTAGCGTACTTCAAGCTATGTCTTCGTCGTCTTAATCTTTTAAGTGTTGAAGATGCGATCGACTTGTTGGTTCACAAGCCCCGCCATGATCGTGTAAAATGGCTTCATCGTAGATCGATTAGTTTCTGAGATATAACCAGAAATGATTAGTTTCTGAGATATAACCAGAAATGTAAAAGTGCAAAACCTACCGCTTAATCGCGCTAGAGCCGTACAGTACCGTAAAGTGGGGCTATTTGAGACAGTGGGGCTATTTGAGACAGTACGGTATTGGTTTAGTAAAATTGCTGTAAAATTAAAACCGTTTGATATTTTTCATCAATTTTTGCTCGGGGTGATATAGAATTTAACGGTGAATTCCATTGATAGGATTTTTGGAAAATTTTTAAAAGGTTTGAAAGAACTTTGGCATTAAACGAGAAATACAGAAAAAAAAACACAATTTAAGTTATACGAAAAGCACCCCTACCTGCACCTTACCATGGTTGAAGTTTTGAAAACTTTGCAACCGAATCTATCGTAACTATCGTTTTACTTATGGGCTAAGCACATTTTTTCATGAAGACATTATATATTGTTAACGGTAGTGACGGTTGTGTAACCCAATGTCTCAGAATCCCGATGATACCCACCTCGTCAAACTTCAACATATGCCAAATACAGCTGATGTTTGTGATGCTAAGGCCCTAAAACAGGTGATATGATGCATCTTGCATCTTGCATGCATGCAAGACTTACCGCCATCTGCCTAAAGTGTATCAAACGTTCGAGCTAAGAAACACCGGTGAATCGGCCATGGGTTCATGATACTTTTAGCAGCAAGCAATGTTTACACATTGTAGCTCAATGTGACCTTCCAGTTTGTGACGATATTACTTACCTCTGTGAATATGTGCATAAAATGTGCTTCATTAGTCACTGACGTGGTCGGTAATGGACCCATGTCTACTCTGGTTGACCAGAAGGCACCGTTGAAGGTCATTTATCATACATCCGTACTGTTAGGTGAGCCTTAAGTATACGTACTGGATGCAGTGCGGTAACCGGCCATTCGATACAACATGCAGTGATCTAGGAAAATCGGTATAAAATCAAAACTGGTTGACCTTTTTCTGTTATTTCTTCACAGGTTGATGTGCAATGGAACAACCGATCATGCATGCCATTCATTAAACCATATTGAAAACTGGTTTTCCCTTTTTTAATGCATTGCGGTGTGTTAAATGCATTAGCGAGCCTGTCTCAAATAGCCCCACCAACTTTCGGCCTATATGTTTTACGCCGCCCGAGACAAACACAACTTATTTTGAAAATTTCACTGTCGTTGACTTAGTAATAGTCCTACATAATCTTCCTGTGATTTTTAAAGCTTAGGGTCGCATCATATTATGACAGCCCAAGCATAAAGTAATGCAATTTTTTTGACAGACCGAAATGCTATGTCCAACGAAAAACGATAAGTTTGATTATGAGAGTTACATAACTGTATTTGAAAGAAATACTTTTTGGCACAAGTATCAAAATTTAATTTCCAATCGCATGGCATTAAAAGAATTATCCCTAGCTTGACCGATTTTCTTCAACTTCCTTGCAACTAAAACTGTCTCAAATAGCCCCACACTATGGGGCTATCTGAGACAGGCTTCAAGTAGAAAAATAAGTTTATTTATGGTTACTAGCTGAACCAAAATGGACCTATCTGAAAGCAGTTACAGAGAACTACGTTTTTACAATTTACATGTTATAGGAAATATCAACCGTTTTGAAGGGAGAGGCCAAAAACTGTAAAATCCGTTTCAAATAGCCCCACTTTATGTACATAGTCTGGCTAACTCACGTTTGTCTCGGAGTCTCTGACGAGGAAGCAGCCGTCCTGTCCGCGGGTCGCCAGCAGCTGGTCCGCCTGTGACCGGCTCACCGGGCCAAAGTACCAGTCCTTTCCGGCCAGGTGCGGCCGCTCCCCGGACGCGTCTGCAGCACCCAGACGGAGCTGCGCCAGCTCAGAGCTGGGCACCGGGTCCTCGGCGCCCGACGGGCCGCCGCCCGCCGCGCCGTTACCGTTTGTTTTGCCCTCTGTGGACGGGAGTCGGTTCGTTAGCTGGGGTTCCCGGGCCCATTAGTGGGGTCCATTTGTTGTTCCGAGGTGGCGAGCGGTGGCATTCCTGAGTGGACGGGGAGGAAAGAGCATTGTCTCCGACAAGGAAATGGAAGGCGAGACGCAACAGGCGCCCGGTGGTGCTACGATAATCCCATGATGGACATGAGGCTTAGGTGTGGGTGGACAATGTGGCGAACCAACAACGGAAAACCTACGGGTTCTATCGGCGAACATACGACAGTAAACGCTGACCCCAAGACGAATCGCGTCTGGTGGCATAGGTTTTCCTTTATATTGACAATATTGACACATCTCCCTGATTGTATCTACGAGAATCTGCAAAAACATGCCGGCGATATAAAAGTTAGCAATGATATTGGTGCAAAACAAAAGCAATCAACCCGCATCCGATCCAAATACCAACACACACAACAGAGATCCTAACATTTTCGCTCGACCACCTAGTCTCACAATCCTTGAAACACTTCCGCCCACCTGTGCTCTCCAATCACCTCCCACGACCCGTACCTCCCACCCCTCTCCCCTGCTCCCCGCTCTCTCCGGCAGATCGTTACGGGGACCACCGGAGCACCGACTCACCACTCAGCTGCCGGCCCAGCTCTCGGACGTAGTTGCGCGGGATGAGACCGGTCGTACCCTGGCCGTTACGAGCCATCAGCCACTCGGGGTCGTTGGCCGGCCGGTCCAGCACCTGGCCAAACGGAGCGGAAACAGGGTCAGAACTCCGGAGACGGAGCGATTAAAGACGTAATTACAGACTGCAGTTAGCGATTCGCGAGGAGGGAATGAGACAGGATCAAGATTGAAGTCATGCGTAAAATAAACCTCAGGAGGCGCTAGAGCGCACCAGCGTCCAGCTCACATTATGATAGCTACGTAACTACACTAACTAACTTGCATAACTACGCTAGATTAAGTTCCAGATCCTGGATACGCCGGAAGGCAACGGGAGTCCCAATGAGTCATCCTATTCCGAGCGCGACTCGGCTGAGAGACCGCGATCGACTTGCCGCTGAACCGTGATATGGGGCCGCCGATGGCCGTTTGGCCGACGTCGAACATCGTCGTGAAACTTGTTAGCGCTCAAAGAGCCGAATGAGGCTCGGCCATCCGACGAATTAATTGGCCGGATGTGATCATCGGCGGTCCCGAAATTCCAATGGACGAACCGTCCTGATTGACGCGACGTTAGAGAGCGTCACTGAAGGGCACATCATCCTGACGTGGGCATCTGCAGGTTTACTGGGGCTTTAGAGCGCGCCGACTTCAAAGGTCATTTTGCGCATTTGACTTGAGCATCAGACAGCATCACTGCCCACCACAAGTAACCAGCTACGTCGAACCCGCCCGCAGCACCCGCTCCGTCGCCGCACTATCTCTTGCCGCGCCATGGCACCGCCCTGGCCCGTTTCGATCAGCGGCATCTTCACGGCGACGTTCAGGGGGCGTCTGGGGTCGCCACAAATCCGCGCCAAATGGGCACCGTCCGTCCGCCGGCCCGCCGCGCCAGACGCGACCAATTCGGCCGCGCAAGGCCCCGCCACCTTACGAGATGACGCCGCGCTCATATTGAAATGGAAATCAGGCACTAACGCCGGCCAAGTGCCGCCCGCCCAGCGCCATCGCCCCGAGAAAGTCACCTACTGTATTGGATAGTTTTGCATTGAGGAGCACGATACAGAAGCTTAAATATCTTATCGAGTAAGGATTTAAAGTGAAGTGGTCTGGGAATGACGAAATAATAGACCTAACTACTTCGCAGCTTAAAGGTGTGTGCCACCTTTGAAAGATTTCCCATTTTATTTTTCCTAGGATAAGAAGCTTCTGTTTACCAATATCGCAAAAAAATCAAAAATGGGCCTGAAATAGTGCCTTTTTCGCCTAAAAGGTTTATCGGTT